CATCCTGTTGAGAGGGAGTGCAACTCCCTGGAGGTCCTGGCATGCACAGCAGCCCAAATGGCAGCTCAGGAGGATGGACTCAAGCACCACTCATTTCATCCCACTGTACAGAAAAGCTGTCTGCAGTCCTGCACTGCTCTTGAGTGCCACAGAAGGCCCTGGATTGTGTGTCTTCTCTTCTAATATTTTCCTGCAAAGCCTTGGAYCTTCACCAACACTTCCCACCTGCTACACAGATACACATATACCCTTCTAGAGTCATTGTGTGCCTAGAGACAAGCTATATGAAACCTCAGCCAAGTCTAGTCCATGGTTTCTTAGCTAAATAGCTGTTTCTGGTAATTGCCAGGTGCTCAAACGGAATATAAAGATTATTTCAATGATAGGAAAACTTGCTCTTACATTGGTTAATGAGTTTCCACACACAGATAGCATCTTCAATCAAAACTTAAGGGAAGCTGTGCTTTACTCTTTTGTTTTGAATTAACATAGTGTGAGCAAATCACACATACTAGAACTGAAAGTGAAATCCAAACACCTATTTAAAATCGATTATTTGTACTTTATATAAAGGCTTCTTTGCCAGCCTGAACACAGGCCATATACTACTCCAGTTTGTCCAGCCTAAACTATGCTATTGCCATCCTTGTCACAGTGAGATTTAATTGCTTTTTTTCTCAGATTGCTTTCAAATACCAAATACATTATTAAATTCTCTTTCTTCACATACACAAGGTTCAAAGTCATCAGAGAAATTTCACCTAGGGAAACAAGACATAATAATTGATGGGGGAAAAAGGGTACATAAGCTAAAAAAGAACTTTTTTTCACATAGGTTCATTAGCGTCATACTCAAAGATGTGATTATAGAGATTTAATGTAAAGAAATGGAAATGAGTTGCTCTTTTCTACCTATTTCAATTCAGCTAATGAATAAGGGCCAGATTAAAAAGAACAGATGCCAAGTAATATATCCTCTACAACTGCAAGGTTAAGCAGGCAGAACACATAGCTGCCCAAGCTCACTCTACCAGCTGGAGATGGACAAAGGTGTGACCACTTTCTCCTGGATGAGTCCTAAGCTGACATCTRTGAACAAAGATTATATAATTAGGCCTTCTCTTCTTCCTGTGTTCCAATAGTCATATAGAGCTGCTTAGGGCTTAGAACTAGTAAGTTTAGAAGGACAGTTCAATGGAGTTAAATGAAGGTTTATTTTGTGCTTTCTCTGCATTTATGATGGTGTGCTAAAGGAGATGACAAAAACCTTGAGAGGTCACRATGACTTGGTGGGGAGCTGCAATACATAGGATTCTTGTGATCCCCGCGCAAAATCCCATCAGTTTTTGTCTACATATAAATGCATAATGTAATGCAATATGCTGGGATTCTCTACAGCCTCTCAGAAAATAGTGGTCCTGGATAAGGGTCTGTAAGATTATAGCCTGTATGTTGCCATTAGGCTCTGTACTGTCTCCCACTCCCACTGGTGCGTCAAGAGACTAACTGGTTTCCAGTAACTCCAGAAAATTTCCAGACTTTTGAGCTGAAAAYCTGCTGAGAGGAAGGAGAACTTTGTCATGATATTTTTGAAGTCCTTTGTGTTTAGGAATTTTCTCAGTGGAGAAGATTTTTAAAACCAGTGTATCAGTGAAACTTTTTGTATCAGTGGGGTCAACATAGCTTGGGACAAATGGGGGTGCTGCCTCTGCKGACCACAACAGAGCTTTTGAGATCCATGGGAGCCTTAGTAGAAAAGTATTTGGACTTGACAACTACCCACTAACTCTAAATATAACCTTCTGGTAAACATTAAAACTTCAAGGGCTTTGTGGCTGATGATCATGTTGAACTCCAGGACATTCAGTGAGAGACTAGAGTGGAAAACATAAACATGAAAAGAAACATCGGGGGATGGGAATTTTGAAAGCTGGTGGAGAGAACAGAGAAGATTTTGGTGACAAAAGTTTTTTTTGTCTGGTTCCAGGATTTGCAGTGTAATAAAGATGAAGTATTCATAAGGCTGAGACAGGTTAACCAGTAGTGTACTGAAAAAGTACACAAGAAACTGTGGATTGCTCCAGAACATTTTGTCCTAATAGGAGTACTAAAAAATGCTGTACACTGAGYAAAGGACAAAAAGCAGATGCTCTTGGCATTTCCATCTTGGTTCTTCTGCTTTAAAWAGGAGAATTAGTATCCTCTTTCCTATGGTTTTTATGTATTTAAACTCTGATATCCGTCTGTCAGATAAAAAAAACTATGAGAAGGATTTCACACAGAGCACCAAACAGCTGGAAAATAGTACCAGCTTTCAGTCCCTATCAACCTGGTTGGATTTGAYAGTAGTACTTGGAAGGCTCTCTATCTCTTTGACATAAGTTCAAGGATCTGTTCTATCTTTCCTTGAACCATGAAAATCAAAGCCTTTACTTTCTCAGCACAGTAGCAGACAAGGACAAGCAAGTTTCTAAAGTAGATCATAAACTGTTCTGTTCAAGTATCTCTTGCACGATCACCAGTTATCTTCTAGCCTGCAGTGCTGTTCTTGGCCTTCAGGKCACCCCTAAATACCAGCTCATCTAGTCATACAGCACATGGAAGAAGTTCCACTCCACAGCAGAAGTTTTTGAMAAACAGCAAAGRGGTTTGGGAGTTATTTGATAGCTGTTTAAAGCAGCTTCCATCTGTACCTGTAGTACTTTCACCACTGTTCTGTGAGGTGGATAGACATCACCCCTATCTATCTGACAGCTGGGCTGACTGACCTGTTACTTAACTCAGGATCACTAGAAAGCAGAGGAGACCCAAAGCCCTTGTTCTAGAGCAATAAAACATCATTACATGTTTTGTAAGAACATTTACCAGTCCTGGAAATGATCACTTATTCTGTTAGCTTGACTCTTATTGTCTTACAAACTTCTTTCAAGGTGGTCAGAATTTCTTTTAAAGATGGAAAAAAAAAAATCAAACACCTTAGAAAACATTCTGCAAGGGGAGTAAGAGGCATTTAAGCCTGTTTAAAACTCAATCCAAACAGAGACAGACCTGTAGCCAGTGAGGAGGGAAACTTGGCAGCTTTGCTTAGAGCTTCCCACACAGACACTGGAGACGAAAGAAAACAAAGAAGCTGTAGTCCCCGAGGGTCCTACCACTCCCTGGGCAAAACCAGTCTCTTCCCTGCTTTTCCTTTAGTTCTCAAACACACACACGTGCTCTCTTCTCCCAGTGCCATTAGCTACAGCAATAACCAATTGAGCCCTACAGACAAAAAAAAAAAAAAAAAAAAAAAAAAAAAAAAAAAAAAAAAAAAAAAAAAAAAAAAAAAAAAAAAAAAAAAAAAAAAAAAAGGAAAGAGAAAAAAAAAGAGAACTTGGAGGCGAGCCAGCGTCCCCGAATGACTCCGCTCTGCCGGCAGCCTCCCCGCCGCTCCCGCTCTCCCTCCTCTCCCCGCAGGGCGGGCATGCCAAACCCTCCTCTCTTTATCAGGGGCTGGAGTTCCCCTTCTTGGTCTCTGTTTGGCTTGGGAACCCAGAAACGTTGCTAAATTTATCTTTCTCTTTCAAGACAATGGTAAACGCCAGCAATAAGAATGCAAAAGAACTGAAAATTAATGGAGACAATTCCCTGCAAGCCAAGTGGAAACACCTTTTCTGTGTAACTCCCAAGGCGGCAAAAAGCAGTTACACAGTGCAAAGCAGGACAGGCTGCCTGGGGTGCCAGGAACACGCTGTTCCTTTGGCTGTGTGCCACAGGGAATTGTCCATCCATATGCTCAAACTTGATGGGGCTTTCTTCTCTCCCACGGAGAGCAAAACATACCCTCAAATTAGAATGGGTAATTTTGCTTTATCTCAGGAAGGCAACAGGAAAAGCTGAAGGCACGCTGAAGGTAGAGCCAGCATGGGTGAGGCTGACACCTCAGAGCTAAAACTGCTCAGGAGTTATGCCATGTTCAGTTTGAGGATCTCTTTCTTACTGCTCTTTATAAGAGACTGACCATACATCTTAGCAAACTAATTTGAAATTACTCAGTGGAACACCTGGAACAAGTCTGCTCTAGTCGGTGTGGTGCCTCGACATATGCGCTGGTGCCTTCAGCAGAGATTGGTCTCCCCAATTTTTGGTGTCCCCTGTCTGACTAGAAGCCATCCTGTTTCCCAGCGCCAGGCAAAGCCGTGAGGTGTGGCAAGTCATGGGGCCTATTTCAAGATGGCCATCCTAATACTTTCAGTGCAACTTTCACAATGCTTGCAAGACTTCCACTTTTTCTGTGGGTGTGTCTCATAAATTACAATAGCAACAAAAAAGTCCTTAGTCTTCACCGAGAAGTAASCACTAAACACTGATGAGTACAAGTTACGGGTTGCATTCAAATGTTTTTTTCTTTCGAATTCAGTTATACCCAGCTGCCAAAAGCTTTTTAGACACTGCCCATATCCCCCTCTCTCCTCACTTATGGTGTCTCCTTGTGACTCGTGTTCAGGCCCTCATCTGCCTTCTGYTTACTCTAGCCTTCACAAAGTGTCTGCTAAAGAAAGAAACAGACACACAGCCATGTAGGTGCCTCTAGAACATTTAATTAAAAAATATCAGGAGTATTGATACTTGCATGGAAAGTGATATGCTGGTATAAAGAGAGTGACGGGAGCATGGAGTCGGAAAAACGGGGAGGTAAGAAATACTGGAAAGGGAAGTAGAAGACACAAGAAGACACAGAACAAGGCCAGCAGCTAAAAATTACAGCTTGGTACAATCCACACAGATGACCCGCATGCCATTCCCTGTGACATTAATAAAAAAGGGCAACATTAGCTTTGAATCTATGCCCAGTAAGGGTTTATTCCCAGAGGGGTTTTTTTGTTGTTGTTTGGTTTTCCCGAGCTTGAGTTCCGAGAGGTGAAACCATAACAGTGGCCAAATAAAAGTTTGTTTGGTTTTGTTTTTCATTTTAATTACCAAGCTGTAACAAATAAATCTCTGGCTGGATTGTAACTAACCTGTGTGGGTCCTTAGATGAGCTTTAAGATGGGAAGATTTGCCATAAACTTTTTCACACCCCACATAGTGGCATTTGTGCTTTTTCTGGGGTGATCCAGGGTCAGTCCAGCTTCTTATACGTTTGTTCTTTTGTCTGGGGCTTGGCTCAGTTACTGCAGCCAGGCTAGTAGGTGTGGCTGCTCTTTCTCCTGCACGCTTACCAGCTGAAGACAGACTTTCTTCCTCAAACTCCTTAGGAGCAATAGAAATGTGTATTTGTTCTGTTATATCAAGCGTCTCTGTTTTTTCCATCCTTAGAGCAGGTGACTTTGGGAYGTGCTGGTTCAGATCTGCTAAAATGCTAGCTACCACAAGTAATGATGATCCATTGTCTTTCCCGGTCTCTCTGACTTGCCGTCTATCTTCTTCATTGGACGAAGGAAGTATTGCTGCATCAGGTTGGGGATCAGGCTTCCCTTTGGGACTATGGATAACAGCACGACTTGACATAGAAACAAGGCACTCTGCTGCAAAATGATCCACATATGCTGCTGTTGCCATTTTTCATAAGTTTAAAAAGAAATCCGAAGAAAGGCGAAGACAAAAAAGGGAAAAAACAAACCAAACACAACAGTGCTCTTTCCCTTTTTAAAAAGATTACACAAGCAGACTTTTCCCTCCCTTATTTCTTAGGATAGATTTGTAGGAGTAAAGGCTGATTTAGCAGCCATCAAACCCACACTTTGTTCGTGACGATCACACCCAGCTTGTCACTAAATCGAAAAAGCGTTGGCGGTCCAATGGAAGAGGAAAAGAACAGCAGCTAGATCCTGGCAGTGGCAGCTTGTTGCTCGGAGCATGGRCTGAGGCCGTTTACTCAAGAAGGCAGTGACTGGCGATGCGGTCCCGCAGCCGTGCCATCGCGCTGTGACAGCGGAGCCGCCGCTCCCCGTTATCGCTGCCCGGAGCCTCCCGGACCCGCGGGGCGTGGCCTGGGAACATCTGGCCGTGACGTCAGCGGGGCCGCAGCCCGCGCCAGCAGGTGGGCGGCGCGCGCGGGGGGGCAGCGCCCG